ATTTGGGACTTTTGTGTTTTTTCTCCTTTGGCCTCTGGATCCCCTAAAATCAATAGCTATTTTTGTTTTCCCTTAGTTTTATTTACTCGAGTTTGAGATCAAGATTTGGGATACTTTGAGAAGCATCACACCTATGTGTAATGGAAAGCACAGTTGTTTCTTCCACTATATGTCAATGGCATGCCAGGTGACAAGCTGTTAATTAACTCTATGTTCCATAAAAAGGGACAAACTTGGTCCAGTGTCTTCTTGGATACAAAGTCTAGTACTTTCTCTGATTTAGAATTACAGAAGACCTTTTTTGCCTGTCTATTCAGTTTGCAAATGAATGGTCTGAGACCAGAAAGATAAGCAAGCAAGTCCTTGTAGGACCACACAAGAAGGTTGGTATAATATTTCTGCTATGGAGTTCAATAATCTCAAGAGACTGGGACCTTTCCAAGGATGAAAGAGGCTTAAATCTTCTCCTAAGCTCTTCTTATTCTTCTTTTCCCTGTGAATCTCCACATTCTTAAGTAACACAGAGGCAAACAAGTCATCACCTCTTCTCTTCATTGGAACCCCAATAAGAGTTTTGTTATAGACATACTTCCTATGTCTTTCCTATTGCTTCTAGTTTCTTTTAGGAGAGGCACTTACTGGTAGGAAATGGGAAGGAAGGGCAGAATAAGATTGCATTTGGGCTGAAATGTTGATTAAAAATCAGTCCGGAATTAATCTTAGAAATATAGCTCATTCCTTTACCTTTATTCTCCCTAAAAATTCTGATAAAATAAAAATAGAGAATAAAAAATGCATAGATTCAAAATAATGAGAAAGGAAACAACATAAATGGCATTTGGAAGGTAGAGAACAAAAGTTGCTAGTAACTTCGTGGGCCTTGGAAAAGTGAACCAAAGTCAAAATTCTCATTTAAAAATCCCAAAAGTTGCATTTTGGTGGCTCAGTTAGTTAAGCATTTACCTTCAGCTCAGGTCATGATCTTAGGGTCCTGGGATCAAGTCCTGCATTGGGCTCTTGCTCCGTGTGGAGTCTGTTTCTCTCTCTCCCTCTTCCCCTGCTTGCACACTCTCTCTCTTGCACTTGCTCGCTCTGTCTCTTGAATAAATAAATAAAATCTTTTTTTAATGTTTCACTTATTTCATTTGTTTTTTATTATGCTCAGTTAACCAACACAAATATTCTGTCTCTCAAATAAATAAATGAAAATTTAAAAAAAACTCAAAAGTTCTGTAAGTTGGTGATAACCTCCTACTTTATCATCTCAAGTGGAGATGTGGGGAAGCCTGAAAACTGAGAAAGTACCTGAAAATTTACATATGATTCAGGTAGACTCCTAAACCCATATTTTCCCCCCCATTTCATACAATGAGTTACCCACTGTGAGATAATAGGATATATATCTATACTGTATCTGTATCTATATGACTATCTATCTGTTCTGCTTCCTGTCACAGAGCTTCTAAAACCTTGATATTTTCTTAAGTGGTAAGAACACTAGGAGCATCTCTTCTTCTAATATTTGATCTTTAACCCTGCTCCTCACACAAGGATCCTAAACCCTTATACAATCCTAAGTGATAAGGAGCATCTTTGCTCTTATTATTTTTTTTTTTAGATTTAGTTATTTATGAGAGAGAGAAAGAGAATGCACACACGAGTGGTGGGAGGGGTAGAGAGAGAGAATCTTTAAGCAGACTCCCCACTGAGGGAGGATCCTGGGAAGGAGCTTGATTCTAGGACCCTGAAATCATGACCTGAGCTGAAACCAAGAGTCTGACACTGCACCAACTGAGCCACCCAGGTGCCCCAGGAGCATCTTTTATTCTAATGAAGTGAGTCTGAGTGGGCATGTGGATGGGCTCCTGGGTGAGAGGTGGTCACGAGAAAGACCAAGCCATGACAAGAAGCTTGGAATTTTCACCCCACCCACCCCTGCTTCTCTTGAGCAGGGAAAAAGTCTGAAAATGGAATCATTAACTCCATCAATCATGCCTATGTAAGGAAACTGCCATAAAAATCCCAAAAGTATGAGGTTCAGAGAGCTTCCAGGCTGGTGAACATAGTATCAGGAGGGTGACCCACCCCTGCTTAGGACCCTCCCAAATCTCACCTTATGTATCCTTTATCTGGCTGCTTATCTCTATCCTTTATCATATTCTTTAATAAAGTGGTAAATGTTAAATGGTTCTCTGAGTTTTATGACCTGCTGGGGCAAATTAAGTGTACCCCAAGAGGGGATTATGGGAAACTCTGTTTTATAGCCAAATCTAAATGAAGTTGTGGGTAATCTGGGGACATACTTCTTGCAATTGTCATTTTAAATAGGGGGTGGGGCGCCTGGGTGGCTCAGTAGGTTGAGGCCTCCTTTGGCTTGGTTCCATAATCCCGGGGTCCTGGGATTGAGCCCCCGACAGGCTCTCTGCTCAGCGGGGAGCCTGCTTCCCCCCCCCACCCTCTCTGCCTGCCTCTCTGCCTACTTGTGATCTCTGTCTGTCAAATAAATAAAATAAAATATTTAAAAAAATAAGTAGGGTGGGAGCAGTCTTTTGAGACTGAGACTTTACCCTATAGAACTTGACACTATCTCCAGGTAGATAGTAATAGAACTGAGCTGAATTGTAGGAAATGGCAGCTGCTGTCACAGAGAATTGCTTGATGTGGGAAAAATGTCCATGCATTTGATGACAGAAGTATCAAAAATGAACTGTTCTGTGTGAATAGTAAAGGAGAAATCGCAGGGAAAAAACTCATGGTAGAGAAGAAATTTCTTTCTTTCTTTCTTTCTTTCTTTCTTTCTTTCTTTTCTTTTTCCTACAACAAGTGGAAACTGAGGTTTCCCTTAATACCCTCTCATAGTCATTCTGAGAGAAAACTGTCTGGGGCAGAGTATTGGAGGAATCCTCTCCAGAGCAACTAACTGACCTAAAAGGGGAAATTCAAACAAACAAACACATACAAATATTGACAATTGGGTTTCTCAGAGAATCACCCAAGTACATGAAGGCTACACATATACCCTCATATAAAAATGAGACCCCTCTCAATTAATTTGGCATCACACTCTTTTTTTAAAAAATTATTTATTTATTTATTTGACAGAGAGAGAGAGCACAAGTAGGGGGAGTGGAAGAGGGAAAAACAGGCTCCCTGCTGAACGTGGACCCCAATATGGGGCTCTATCCCTGGACCCTGAGATCATGACCTGAGCCGAAGGCAGATGTTTAACCGACTAAGCCACCCAGGTGCCTTTGGCATCTCACTCTTAAATGATTACAGGCAACCAAATATCACCAGATATTCGAAGAAAGCTGCCAACATGAAAGACTGAGAAAAAAAAAAAAAAAGACTGAGGAAAAAAAAGACAAAATGAAAGCAGAGATAACATAGTGAGAACACTTAAAAAGTTCTGTAAATAAACTAAGATCTTTTACATTTCTACTGGAAATGTAAAAATGGAAAATAATTTTCACAGTTTCTTGTAAAGTAAATATACCCATCTAACCCAGAATTCTACTCCTATGTATTTACCTGATAAGATTTTTTTTTTATTTTTTATTTTAGGGATGCCTGGGTGGCTCAATGGGTTAAGCCTCTGCCTTTGGCTCAGGTAATGATCTCAGGGTCCTACGATCAAGCCCCAAATTGGGCTTTCTGCCTAGCAGGGAACCTGCTTCCCCCCTCTCTCTGCCTGCCTCTACCTCCTTGCGATCTCACTTTCTATGTCAAATAAATAAATAAAATCTTTAAAACAAAAAAAAAAAGATTTTTTATTTTAAAGTAGGTTCCACACAACCCTGAAACCAAGACCTGAGCTCAGATAAGGAGTTGGACATTCAACCGAGCCATCCAAGCACCCCGACCCAATAAGATTTTTAAAAAATATGTCTACACAAAGACTTGTACATCATAGCAGATTTATTTACACTAGTCCCAATCTGGAAGCCACTGAAATGTCCATCCACAAATGAATGCGTAAACATTTTGTGTATTCATACTATGGAATATTATTCAGCAATGAAAAGGAAATAACTATTGAAAACATACAATATGAATTAATCTTAATAACATTATGCTCAATCAAAGAAGCCAGTCATAGAAGACTGCATGTTATTTGAATCCATTTATATAAGATCTGAAAGCAGACAGAATAATGTAGGGTGACAGAAAGTAGATCAGTGATTACCTCAGTCTAAAATTGGTGGTGGGGATAACTTAGAGGGGAAATTTTTTTGTATTTTGTTTTTACTTTTTGGAAACACTGATTAAGAAATTTTATTATAGAAAATGAATGCATCCAATATCCCCAAATACATTTGTAACAACAGACACACAGGAAACCTGATAATATTTACTACATCATAGCCTTATTCTTTCCAAAGGATAAAACATTATGCAAAAACAGGGAGTGAAGGTTGAAAGAGAGAGGTGGTTAGAGAAAGCAGGTACTGTCCTTTTGATTAAAAGACACAAAATACTTTTTGGGGTGACAAAAATATTGTGTATCTTGATTTTGGTTACAGAGGTTTATATTTGTTAAGTACAATAAACTATACACTTAAGGTTAAGGGTATATTCTTTTGTATTTAAATTGTACTTCAATAAAGTTGACTTGAAATGAAATTTTTCAAAAGTAAGATACAATTTTGTATCTATGTCTGAAACTGGAATGTTATATTAGAAGACTTGAGGGGGGAAAAAAGATTTCATTGAAAATGAAATGATACAAGGAACATGTTTGTACTACGTAAATTAAAATATAATTTAAAAAAATCATCCATGAGGGTAACTGGGTGGCTTAGTTGGTTAAGCGTCTGCCTTTGGATCAGGTCATAATCCCAGCATCCTGGGATCGAGTCCCACATTGCAGGGTTGTAAGGAGGGAAGGTCCCTGCTCACTGGGGAGTCTGTTTATCCCTCTACCTTTTCTCCCTGCTCATAATCTCTCTCTCTCTCTCTCTGACAAATAAAGAATATTTTAAAAAAAGAAAAGAAAAGAAAAGAAAACCATCCATGAAATTGAACAGAGGGATGAAATGATGAAAAATGGGAGGAAATACGGAGCCCCTACGTGATACAGACGATTAAGCAACCTACTCTTCATTTTGCCTCAGGTAGTAATCTGAGGGGCCTGAGATCAAGGCCCGTACTGGGCTCCACTTTCAGCATGGAGTCTGCTGATGTTTCTCTCTCCCTCTCCCTCTGCCCCACATTTCTCTCTCTCTCTCTTTCCAAAATAGATAAATCTTTAATAAAGAAAAGGAAAGTGGAAGGAAATAATACTGTAAAATAGGAAAAATCTAGAAAAAGACAAAAACACTGGGGATGGATGAAGAAAATAAAAAGAAGATGTTTTCCCATAAGTAAAGGATATGACTTTTCATCACCTTTTGTTTATCCTCCTTATTTCCCTTCTCAAAAGTTTTCCATCTTTATCTTTAAAAATAATCTCTAATTGTTATGTTCTGGTGTCTCCCAAATGCTCTTCTTAACTTTCTCCAGTGGCTACATTTATTCACATAGGGTTTACCTGCCACAGCTCTGCTCTCTGCCATCTCAGGTATGCTCTCAACTCCCCCTGCTTTATTTTCAGTTTCACCATCCATTTCCATTTCAGGAACTTCATGATTGTCTTTAAAAAAAAAAAAAAGTGTTTTAAAAAAAAGGTCAGTTTTCTCTATTCTTTACTTTCTATCTAGATAATACCAGTGTTCCTGGTCTGATGCTGATTCTGATGGTAGATATTTTAAATAGACAAACCCTGGGGCACCTGGGTGGGTCAGTTGGTTAAGTGTTGGACTCTTGATTTCGACTGAGGTCATGATCTCAGGATGGTGAGATCAGTCCCCCTGTGGGGCTCTTTGCTGGGCACAGAGCTTACTTAAGATTCTCTCTCTCCCTTTCCCCTCCACCTCCATACTCACATGCTTTCTCTCTCACCTCCCTCTCTCATAAGTTAATTAATTAATTATAATTGACAAACACTGTGTGATCTTTTACTAAAATAAAATTCAAACAACCTACCCTACTGTATAAAAAAGATTAAATTGTCTTATAAGGAAACATGTATTAGAGAATATATAACAAAATGTAAATTGGATCTTCCAGTTTATAAGCACTCTAAGTCAGTTGCCCATGGATGGCAAGTATGTAATACTTCTCCCCAGTACATACAATGCCTTTGTCAATATTGTAGACACAGAGAAGAAGACCCTATTTAGGGGAACTGGTCCCTAAAACATTATCCACTAACCTGATGCTTCAAATTATATAACCAGAGACATGTTACTAGAAGTGATTTTTCTTCCTCATTTGAATATAAAATACTTTGGGGTAAATTTATAAAGTAAAAATTCCATATGTTGGGGCACCTGAGTGGCTCAGTGGGGTAAGCCTCTGCCTTCAGCTCAGGTCATGATCTCAGGGTCCTGGGATCCAGGCCCACATCAGGCTCTCTGCTCAGTGGGGAGCCTGCTTCCCCCTCTCTCTCTGCCTGCCTCTCTGCCTACTTGTGATCTCTGTCAAATACATAAATAAAATCTTTTAAAAAAATTCCATATGTATGTGTACATATATGTATGTGTACATTCCATATGTATTGTATGTATTCCATACATACACATACATACATATGTGTGTACATATATATAGATAGATGATATAATTTTATAGTAAGATCAAAAAGACTGAAAACAAATACAAGGGAATAAAAATAATATAAATAATAAAATATAAATAACAAAACATAATCCCAGGGATGGCACAAGAAACCATGTATCCTATAGCAATACAAAAATTTCAATAAATACAATTTTGATGTTCCCCCAAATCATCTTCTTACTGTTTCACTGTTACTTATAACTTTCTAGGAATTGAATTCCTGGATAAAACAGACTGGAATTATATGGCCTGGAATGATATTATATAGAGATAAGACACCTTCAGTCTTGCTCCTTCACAGAAAGAAGCAAATGTTTAGCACACCATGACTGACTAGGATCCCAGGGTCCTTTAAATCTCATAGCATATGTCTATATTATATCTTTCAGCAGTTAAATAAAAATCCTAGATATTTATGTTCATACTATTACTGTTTTTTCTTCCCATAATAGCTTGTATGTGAGATCATCCGAAATGTCTAAAAACATAAGAAATGTTATTTTCGTGACACCAGAGATCTGGATTTCCAGAGGCTTAAACCACCGTGTTTGTTTTGTTTTGTTTTGTTTTCCACAAACTATGATTTTACAAGCAAAATAAGATAGACAACACTAAGCTCTGGCATAGCAATTTCCCTATGGACTGGAGCTCTGTCATCAAAATCATCAACCTTGAATTGAAGGCGAGGAGAACTCACCAGTGTAGTTAAATAGCTCTCTTTTCTGGTATGTCTGATCCTACATGGAGGCTCTTACCTGCTCTCTTGAGACTGTAGCTCTCCTGGGATGTCTTCACCTGGGAAGCATTTGGAAATTTGAGAGTAGTATAAGTCACTTCTTCAGGCATACTGAACAAATACAACACTGTTGGTCACTGGGTGTGGTGCATGTCTCACTGAACTTCACAGAAGCTGCTCCTGTGGCATGATCTATGCATGTGGCGACTAAGTTCAGTGATCTACCTTTGTAAAAACCAAGCAAAAATATAGTGTCAGAAAACAGAACTGATCCACTGAGAATTTCAGAATTGCTTTATTCACACCTCCACACACATTTCTTATCTTTCTTTTCTTAACTTCCTCCCGTAAACACCAAGTTGAAGAAATGGTCCTGAAAGAAAAATGTGGGTTTTAAATATAAACATTCTTTTTTTTTTTTAATTTGTGGAAAATAGCAGTGACCTCCCGACTTAAGAAGCCTCTGTGGAAAAAATACAAATAAAAGTATCACCATTTCTGCATACATAAAGTTGTTAATCAGCATGTGCCTGTGAGAACAGTGTTGTAATCGAAAACACTTAACTCACTACTAACTCCCAGAAAACCACAACTGAGTTAGTTCTCACCAAAATATTGTTCCCTTTCTTTTTCCTTCCTATTTTTGTGGGTTGAAAAAAGTCTTTAGAAGTTAAAAGAAGAATACTGGGGCACCTGGGTGGCACAGTCAGGATCGTGAGATCAAGCCCAGTATCAGGCTCCCAGCTCAGCTGTTGTGTGTTGGGGGTGGGATGTCTGCTTGGGATTCTCTCCTCCTGCCCCTCCCCCCACTCTCTGTCTTTCTAAGATAGATAAATAAGTTTTTTAAAAAAGGAAAAATATTAATAGAGCAATACAAAACCGAAGAGTGATAGTCGGGAAAAGAGCAGGAAAAGCTACATTTGAGCTACATTAAATAGAGATTTTTTTCCCCTCCTCACCCCTACCCTCCACACAGAACAGCCCCTGAAAAGAAGGGAGATGTATTTTAGAAGTGGAAGTTCTTTATTTAGAGTGTTATCTGTCAGGTTAGGATCTGAATTCTAAGAACTTGAATTTGTGAGGAACGTAGGGTGTATGTATGCATTAATCTGTTCTACAGACTGAGGAGTTATAAAGTTCAGGGAGCTCAAGTGCCTTGGTCATAGTCCAGCAAAGATTAGTCCATAGAGAACATACTCTGCATCCTGAATATCTAGCATAGAGGCAAATGTGTATCACATATTTAGTTAGTATCTTTAAATGCGTAAGTTACTAACTCATTCAGAAATAATCATATGAAGCAAGATGGGATTGGGAGGGAGATAAACCATAAGTGACTCTTAATCTCACAAAACAAACTGAGGGTTGCTGGGGGGAGGGGGGTTGGGAGAGCGGGGGTGGGGTTATTATGGACATTGGGGAGGGTATGTGCTATGGTGAGTGCGGTGAAGTGTGTAAACCTGGCGATTCACAGACCTGTACCCCTGGGGAAAAAAATATATGTTTATAAAAAATAAAATTTAAAAAAAAAAGAAAAAAAAAGAAATAATCATAGTATTGCTCAGTGAAAAGCACCTGTTAAATACTATTATTAATAAGAACACCTTTATTGACATTTAAGAACGACTGGGACATTGTGCAATAGGCACAGAGTCTAGAAAAAAATGGGGTTAAATCACAATATTACAAAAGTAAAAATCAAGAATATTTAATGTGGTATTGAAAAAGACAATATACATATTTTTTTAGGAAAACCATGTTCTGATACGTAAACCTTGAAGAGATGAGAAAGACTAAAGACTTCCACCATGAAGCTCAGAATTTTCACTGATTTTAATTGCTCTGGAGTAACAGATATTTCTCCTATCCTCATAAACGTGTTTTTATTAGTAAGGAACACCCTGCTGGGGGGTGGGGGGCAGAATCATTCACTCTTCTAATCTTCCTTCTGAAACCTTAAGTAGTAAAGTATCTCCTAAATCTTCAAGGATCAGATTTCTTCTCACATGTACTTATTTTCACCCCACCCCAGTCTGATCATAATATACCTTGTCTCCATAAATATAAGTGCAGTACAATTCATTTCATAGGTGCATTCTGCCTATTTGAAAAATAAAATGAATATTTTTGCTCGGAAGTTCAGGAACATTAACTTATTTATGTATTCATTTCTTTATTCAACAAATTAATCGAGGATTTACTATATACTATACATTATTCCAAAGGAAATGACAGGCACATTTTCTTCCTTAATGTAGTTTACATTCTACAATTCATATATTTGTTTGTACATATACGTTAATGTTTTATGTTATTTATTCATGGATAAGTAATACAATGTAATGCATACAATGCAATGGTCCTATGCATAGGAATAAAACAGGGAAAAGTAGGGGTGCCTGGGTGGCTCAGTGGGTTAAGCCTCTGCCTTCGGCTCGGGTTATGATCCCAGGGTCCTGGGATCGAGCCCCACATTGGGCTCTCTGCTTGGAAGTGAGCCTGCTTCCACCTCTCTCTCTGCCTGCCTCTCTGCCTACTTGTAATCTCTGCCTGTCAAATAAATAAATAAAAATCTTAAAAAAAAAAAGGCAGGGAAAAATAGGGTGGCAGAGGAAGGAGAGGAGGCTTTTATGTTAAACAGAGTAATCCTGGAAGGCCTCCATGGAGGTGTCATTTGGCACAGAGAATAGTAACAGCAAAAATATTGTTGTACAAAAA